CCATTGAAAACAAACAAACCTTAAAAGCACATCCATAAACAAACACACACACACACCTCAAAAAAAAAAAAACGAACCCCAACCCTCGAACCTGATCGCCCTTCCTGCTAGCCAGAACCAGTGCTGGGCCAACTCAGACCCCCAAACGGCTCCCACTGCCATGTGGGCGACGATCACAAAAGGGTCTCACGCGAGATGGCATGGCGACCTTGCGCCGCAGCTACCAGGGCGTTTACTCGCGACCTTGCGCGGGCAGCTTACGCGCCAATGTCGGCGAAGACGACCCCGTTTTTCTTCGACGCGCAGGTGACCCCCAGCCCAGACCCCCGACGTCGTGACTTTTCCATGACGTGGCCCCCAAAAATTATGGGCCCTTTCCCGGGGACCAACTTTTCATCGTGAATCGTTTTTAGATGGCCCCGAGGCCCGGGAGGGGCCCCCGGAGGCCGAAAACCGCGAAAAACTGTCCGTCGTGATCTCTGCACGGCGCGAGGGGGTCCGGGAGGAGGGCCCACACAAAACGGACGCCCGAGGACGGCGCCGCCGCCGTGTCTCGGAGGCTTCGGGGCGTGCCTCGCGAACCTCCGCTCCCTCGCGGGCCGAGGAGCGCGGGTTTTTTTGTTGCTTGGGCGCGGGCGGGAGTCGGGCGCTACAGTCAACCCGTCTCGCAAGGATGCGCGATAAGGACGCAGGTGGGCCTTGGACGCCCATTCTGGAGTTTTTCGAGCGGGGCGCGGGCAACGAGAATGGCGCGGGATGGACCGAGGAGGGAAGGCGAGCTGTCCGGTCGGGCTGCTGCCATGAGGAGCGACGAAAACGGAACGAGACCCCTTTCGGCCCCAGGAGCGCTTGCGTGCACGAGCAGGTCCCGAAGAACACCCATTAAGGACCTGAGGATCAGCGAGCCCCTTCCGGATCCAGAGCGGACCTCCTTTAAGCTGGCCTGTAAGCACGCAAGCCCCTTGCACCCCATGTCGAGGCTCTTCGAGCGGGGCTGGCCATCGAAAGCGGCTCAGGATGGACTCGAGGAGGCAAGGATGCAAGGGCACCCCCGGGGAAAGCGACCCATCCCCACGATCGGTTCCAACGGTAATTCCCAGGTAAAACCGCTCCGCGAGGAAAGGGGGACCGAACGAGGGCCCGAAGAGCGAACGGAGCGAGGGCCGGCGAGCAGCACGAGCGGGGCCGCAAGGCGACGCAGGGGCGCCGAGGCTGCCGAGCTGGGCCGCCGCCGTCTGGGGGAGGCTCTGGGCGCTTCTGGGCAGGCTGCCGCAGCGGAAGAGGGAGGAGTCGTGGAGCCATGGAGAACAGAGAAGCGAAGCCGCGCGAGAGAACTGCCTCACAAAGAGCACTGCCTCATCGCAAAGAGGGAGGGGTCATGGAGCCATGGAAGAGGGCAGACTGCCGCGGCAGGAGAGGGAGGGCAGGCTGCCGCAGCGGAAGAGGGAGGGCAGGCTGCCGCAGCGGAAGAGGGAGGAGGAGGAGGAGGAGGAGGAGGAGGAGGAGGAGGAGGAGGAGCACGGCGAGGAGGAGCGGGTGAGGATGGGATAGAGGCAGGCGCGCGGCTCGGCCATGCGCGTGTGGGTTGGGGGGGGGGGCTTGCGGTCGTGTGGCGTCTCGGGGGCGTCCAGGGAGGAGGCGTCCAGGGGCGAGGGGCAACGACAGTGAAGGGGCCCCAAGACACACAAATAAAGTCACACAAATAAAAGGATCCCCCATATTTTCCCATATTTTCTGGGTTTGTGTCTTCCCCCCCCACTTCCGATATTTTCCCATATTTTCTGGGGAATCGACGGTGAATTGTGTCTGTGTGTTTCTTCCCCTCCTGAGACAAGGGGGGGGGGGCGGGGCCATCCCAGGGGGAAGGGGACGTCGACCTGGAACCGGCGGCACGTCGTCGATAGCTCGGCGATGGGCCCCCACACAGCGGAACTCCGAGCTCCTGGGCAGGCAGATCGGGGCTCTTTCGGCCCCCATCGGCGACGACTGGGCGACGTCAGGGGCCGATGCCCCCCCTCCCAACGATTCCCCTGGAGAAGGGGGGCGCCCAGGAAGGGAGCTCGCAAGCCGCGGCCGGAGGCGTGTGCGCGGCTCGAGGTGGGGGACGCCAAGGGACGTCTCGTCTCGAAAAGGCAACGGCGCCTCCGAAGGGTGTGGTCTGCAAGCGGCTTGGCTTGCGGCTGGCATCATGGGGGGCACCCTCGGGGGCACCCTCGGGGGCGGGCGAAGACCTCGACAGAGCTCTCCGCCGTGCCCCCAGGAGGCTCGACGGGGGCGACGTGGCGCCCCCGTCCAGCGCCCACGGCGCAGCTTGCAAACCACGCCCCGGCGTAACCACACCCGTTGTAGTAGAGGCCTCCTAGATGGGGTCAGAGGATCGCGCCGCATCGCGGATCCATCGGCGATGCATCGGCGATGCATCGGTGATGCACCGGCGACGCATCGTCGAACTCGACGACGCATCGGCGACGTCGACGTGAAGCGAATCGGGCTCATGTCGAGCCGCATCGGCGATGCATCGGCGATGCGGCGTGATCCTCCGACCCCATCTGCTCCGACCCCATCTGGGAGGCCTAGATGTAGACGCCGAAGAGAAGAGGGGGCCATGAAGCCTGGGAGGAGACGTCATGGCCCTCGGCACGACATCCACCCACCCGCCCACCCCAGTCATCACCCCTGATAGGCCGATGTTCCACCACCACTACCATAGCTAGGAGGAGGAGGAGGAGGAGGAGGAGGAGGAGGAGGAGGAGGAGGAGGAGGAGGAGGAGGAGGAGGGAAGGAGGAGGAGGAGGAGGAGGAGGAGGAGGAGGAGGGAGGAGGAGGAGGACCTCCCCATCCTCCCTCCTCCCCCTTGCCTACCTATGGTAGCGGTGGTGGAGGATTGGCCGATCGACACCCCCCCCCTCTCGGCCACTCAGAGCACAGGAAGAGGCCCACAGAAAGCGGCCCGGGCCCAAGGCGGTGCCCGCGAGCAGAAGGGAGACAAGGCCGAGCGGATGGAGAACAGGAGGGAGGGAGACGCAGGCAGCGTCACAGCACGAGATAGAGCGAGAAAAAACGTAACATTTGTCTTAAGTCGGGCCTGTCCCCCTGCAGGGGGATTTTGGACGAAAAATTCAAAATTCCCCCAAAATGCCCCAAAATGGCAAAACAAATATTCCAAAAATCGTCCCCATACTATTTTATGACTATTTTTGAATACTCCCCCCTGTAGAGGGACAGGCCCGACTTACAACTTGTCGCGCTCCGCGCAGATTTCTTGGAACTGCGCTGGGCCCCCCCTCCCTGGCGCTCGCGCAGCGCGCCAGGGGCGGCGCTGGAGGCGCCGCCAGGGGGGCCCCAGCGCAGCTCCAAGAAACCCGCGCGGAGCGCCAAAAAAGTATATGCTTGTGGCGTGCTTTTTCCTCCTCGAGTCGAAGCTCGAGAGCCCCAGCCAGCACCTGGGCACCGCCCCGACCAGCTCCTCGAGCCGCGCCCGGACCGAGCGACGAGGCCCTGGCTTGAAACGACGCGAAGATCGGGACAAAATCGGATCGGGATAACCCGAATTCTCGGAGAATCGGCGGGTTTGGAGGATGTCTTGGGCGCCGCGGCCGCTCCAGAGCGTTCCGGAACGCTCTGAGAGCGCTCCGGAACGCTCTGGATCGATTTACCCCGATCCTAGCCCTGTTTTTTGGGCGTGGCTTCATGGGGGGGTCATAAATGGGGGGGTCAGAAACGGTCCCCTTTCGTGCCCCTTTCGAGCCCCTCCGGACCCCCAGGGGGCTCGTTTAGGTACCGTTTGGGTACCTTTTCGGACCACCCTCGCCACCCCCCCATTTATGACCCCTCCATTACGCAACGCCCAAGTTTTATGGCTGGAGAGGGCTGCCGGGGGGGGGGGGCCGGCCCTGAGCGGAGCTCCGCCAGGGGCAGGGCGAGGGAGGGGGGGGGGGGCCTTCCCGGAGCCACTCGCGCCGCTCGTGCGCCGATGCTGCACAGCAAACGCCTGTCTCGATTTTTTGTTTCGCCGAGCTCGAGCCGAGGTTGAGCCGAACTCGAGCCGAACGAGAATCAAACTGGAGTCGAGCTAGAGTCGGGCAGATCCGTCACGGAGGTGCCAGGAAGGCCTCCGAAGCCAAGACCGAAGGGGGCAGCTTCCTCTCAGAGGCATGGGGCCTCTCGGAAGGGGTCCGCCCCCCTTCTCGGATGGTCAACGTTTTCTGCTTCGGCGTCTCGATATTGGGCGGAGGCGGGGAGGGGGAGGGGGGGTCTGGCTCTGGACCTCTGCTTGGTGACTGTTTGCAGCAGTGTTTCTGTACTTGCTCGAAACAAGCGCCGAAAGCAGCCAAGATCCACTCCAGGGAGGGGGGGGGGCGGGGGGGGGGGCGAGGAGGCGCGGCCCTCGTCTGTAGATGTGAGGCCCGCGCCTTCTAAGAAGCAGCCTCCGTCTGCCAAGTCTTCCCCCCTGCCCTGCGGCAGGTCCGTGTCGTGCCGACCCCGGTGTTGGCTCCTGACACCGCGGGGATCGTTCAACCTTGAACGATCGGCCGTTCCCGAAACGCCCACATCGCTCCACGTCGAACGATTCTGGGTCGCCCGCGGCGTTCCACGTCGAACGCCGCTGGCGGGGTCGCCGCCGGTCGACACGACGCAGACCTGTCGTGCACCCCCCCTCTGCGCGTGGCGGACCCCCTGGTCGGAGGCGTCCCCGGAGGCCCCCCTGGAGGGCGGGAGCCCGCCCCGTGAGGCCGCCCGGCCTCGCCCCGCCCCCCGTGGAGGGGGTGCACACCGCGCCCAGCTCGCGAGGGGCACGGGAGGCCAGAGGAGCGCTGCACCACCTCGTGCTGCCTCGAGCACGAGGTGGGCCAATCTGCCACCACCACTGCCACGGGTGGGGGAGGGGGAGGAGGGGGGGGAGGACGGGGAGGTCCTCCTCCTCCTCCTCCTCCTCCTCCTCCTCCTCCTCCTCCTCCTCCTCCTCCCCCTCCTCCCCCTCCTCCCTCTCCAACCTATGGTAGTGGTGGTGGAAAATCGGCCCATCATTCGAGCAGGGGGCGGCTCGCGCCGTTCAGCCCGATCTGTCTGCGCCACGATTCCACAGTGCACTGGGCTGGCGGAAAGAGGGCATCCACGGTAGGCGGATCGCCTTTCAATACGGCCCTCGGCCCAGCGCCAAGCCGTGATCGTGACATCGAGCGAACAACCTCCTGGCGGCACGGTGGACAAAATGGCGCCAGCGCGGGACGAGCCTTCTTCTCTCCGGTTCTGCCCCACCCCTCCGTTCGACCGGGGGGTCCCCTCCCCTACTCTCTTCCCACTCTGACGCCGAGCCGGAAAAGTGAGGCCACCTGTCCCGTCCCCAAGACACTGGAGCCCACGTTCTCAATGCTGCGGCCCACGTCCAGCTTCTGGTGGATGTTGTGGCCCACATCATGCAGCTCTTCCTCGGAGGGAGGCTCTTCCTTCTCTCCCTCCCTCCCTCCCGCCCCCCCCTCCCTCCTCCCTCCCACTCTCCCTCCATCCATCCTCCCTCCGTCCTTCGATTCCTTCCCCCGCCCTCGTTTTTTGTCGGCCCCGCCATGCGAAGCATCGCCCCAAATGTTGTGGGCATGGGCTGGACCTCCTTCCCTTCCCCCTCGACGAGACTCGTCAGGGTTGCCGCGCTGCTCGACGAAACTCTTTGGGGGGGAGATCTCGTGGTGAAGGTAACGGCAGGGGAGGAGCATGGAAGTTAGGGCCTCCATCATCTTGATGGAGCGTCGCCCTGGGGCTCGTCGAAGGCTCCCCGCATACCAGTCCTTTCCCATTGTTCTGAATTCTCGTCCTCATTGCCCTTTTCCTCTCCCAGCCGCCTGGGCACGTGGACCGACAGAGAATTTGAAGCGCTAACCCTCTGGCTTGTTCTTCCGAAGTTTGTGGCGGCTGATGGAAGCTCAGGGGTAGGCATGCAGGGAGGAGGGTACAGTCGGACCTAGGACAGAAAAACGTCCTTCAAGAACACGAGATCCTCCATCAGCCAAAACACACAGAACATCCGAGAGCACCCTCTCTGGGATGCACCAGAACATCCAACAAACACAAAGAACATCAGGGTACCGTTCCCGAACCGACCTCGATCTCATACCTCGGTCCGACAGTAGCAGAGGATATTAGGCAATTTATTCATTTGGGTTCCCAGCGGTTTCCTGTGCGGCCTTAGGCCGGCGCTCAAGGGCACTTCCGCACACTGCACTGGGGCAGCACAGGACATGAGCATGCGGAGAGGCATCGGCGTCACCGCATTCTAGAATACCCCTTGTCCTCGTCCTCCTCCTCGTCCTCCTCGTCCTCCTCCTCCTCCTCGTCCTCCTCCTCCTCGTCCTCCTCCGCGTCCTCCTCCTCCTCCGTTACTTCCTCCTCCTCATCCTCCTGCTCCTCCTCCTCCTCCTCCTCCTTCCCCTGCTCCCTATCAATATCATCATCGTCATCACCACCACCACCACCATCACCACCACCGTCGCCATCACCATCGGCGTCGTCGCAACACCATCATCAGAAAGAGTGTATTTCAGCAGCGACGATGCATCCTGAGTTTACTCTAGAGTTCCTCCTCTTCCTGCTCCTCTTCCTGCTCCTCTTCCTCCTCCTCCTCCTCCTCCTCCTCCTCCTCCTCCTCCTCCTCCTCCTCCTCCTCCTCCTCCTCCCTCCTCCTCCTCCTCCTCGGTGCTGCGCGGAGGGCGCCGTCCCTGGCGTTCAAGACCACGCCCAGGAGGCAGACGGTGGTGAGACTGCCGATGCCAAGAGCCAGGTACGCGTACACAGCGACCTCCTTCAGGGAGAGTAAGAACCACGCGTCACTCCACCGTACGCTTCCCTTTTCGGTCACCGACCTTCGGGGACGCACTGACCTCGGTCAATCCAGACCCGGGCCAGTCGGGCCTTGCAGGATCCTTTGGGATCCTGCAGGATCCTGCAGGATCCTGCACCAGAGCCCGAGGCAGCGCGACCCTGGCTCCACAGGATCCCGCAGAGATCTGGCGCTCCGACGGACCCCCGCTTGCACGGACCCCCGTCTCTCGAGCCTCGACACCGTTTCGGCCGACAGGAGGAGGAGGGAGGAGGAGGAGGAGGAGGAGGAGGAGGAGGAGGGAGGAGGAGGAGAAGCAGGAGGAGGAGGAGGAGGAGCGGGAGGAGAAGGAAGATCCTTTTCACAACGCGAGGAGGGAGGAGGCGCCTGGAGGCCTCCGTGGACCCTCCCCGCTGGCTCCCCCGTGCTCCGAGCGCGCGCTCCGCCCCGCGAGGCCTCACGAGAGAGCGCGGACGGACAGCGTGCTGGTACAGGGCAGTTGTTGATACATAGGATGTGTAAACATATATGATTTGAATACATGAGTAACTTAGGAATAACTGTATGCATGAACTCATCCTTGTTTTTAATGCTAAATCCCTGCATTGTTAATATATGGTCCGCACGCGGAGCATGTATTATAGTGTGCCACTCGCCTGGGTTGCGATACGAATGCTGAGAACGGCGATCAGCGAGGGGGGGGAGCGAGAAGGAGGAGGCCCTCTCGGAGGGCGGCGAGGCCTCTCAGAAGCCCTCGCGCCTTCTGGGAGGTCATGTGTGTGTGTGTCTTCGGGGCAGGCTGAGAGAGCTTCTCGGAAGGCTGGGGGGCTTCCCAGTCTGCTGAGAAAGCCCGCCATTTCTCATTTCCCCCGGCTCGCCGCCGAGAAGGACAAGGCGGAGGATCCAAACGGCTCTGAAAATCGCTCAACTAACACAGCAACAAGATAGAGGCAAGGGGCCTCCGAGAGATTCCCATGCACACACACACACTGGTCCCTGTCGGGAACCAGTCCGTCTGATCCCAGCCTCGGTTTCATGAGGGCATCCCCAAACTGACCTTCTCAAGATATCGTACCTGGGCACTGCTTCTGGATGAGCTGGTGGCATACGCCAAGCGTCAAGAAGTGCAGAATAGGCATACTTACGTAGGTCTGCCCTTCGCCATCCTCCCAGACGGACAGTGTCCCGAGGAAAGGGATCCTGGTACTGTGAATATTGCTAGCACTAGCGATATGTTCCGAATCGTCATCAGATGAAAGAGTCAATACATGGCACCGCTCCTTCTCAAACGACGTGCTTTCAAAACCTCGCTAGCAATGAGACTGGGCAGCCACGCTTTAACAGCGCCCACATACATGCCTGGTTGCTTGTACAGCGCTCACAAACACAAATACGAAATCCTAAAGTCGCACGCCCTGTCGTCCTCCATTGGAGGCGAATCCAAAACTGCGTACCACTGAAAGCGATACGGCGAAAGCTCAGAAGCAGCGGCAGTCCCGAGGCATGTCAGATCGAGTGCATTCGGGCTCCCTTCCTATCAGGCTAGGAGCTGCACCGCCGTCAGGGCTCGGGTCCCCCTGGTGCCCAAGCCTTCGCTGCATCCGACCTCATTGCATGCACGAATGATCCCGCCGACACTGGCGCAGGCCCGAGCACTACTGGGTCCAACGCCGGCTTCGTCTTCTGGACGGCCAGCCGCGACCTCGAGGGCATGCAACGGTCCCGATAGCGATAGCCAGAGCGTTCTTCATCTTGGGCCGCTCGTTGTTTCGCCCTCGTTTGCCATGACCACGCCGTCGTCTTCCTCTCGACCAATATCGAGCTCTCTGGATGCCATCGTTGCCGCTCGTTGCTTCGCCCTCATGTGCGAGTCCCCCTGAAACAAATCTCACCAAACGCAGACTACTCCACAGGCCAGCTTGCTGTGAAGCATTGGCGCTGAGCTTGCTTGCGCTTTTGGATACGCCTGCAGTCACAGGAGATTGAACTTCGGGTTTCTGGCCCGCGGCCTCCGGGGCAAAAAACATGACTCTCAGATAGGATTTTACGAAAAAGCACTACATCGAAAAAATCACTACCGGAGTCCCAGACCCAATCTGTCTGCTGCATCTTTTGAGCCAGATCGGTATGTGATGGCCCTGGGCCCGAAATGGAACGAAATCGCCCGGCGCGAAGAAATACAGTGCCAAAATTTCTGGGGAAGCCCAAGATGATCAAGACAACCCCCAAAAGGCCCCTACACGGCCTAAGTCGGCCACGAGACGACCCCGTGGACTGCCCAAGACGGGCGCGAGACGAGCCGGGGACACCCCCCGCCGCGCTTCCCAAGACCCGGCAAGCAGGCGTCCCCCAAAACCCAGGAGGGAGACAAGGGTGGTCCTCCTCCTCCTCCTCCTCCTCCTCCTCCTCCTCCTCCTCCTCCTCCTACTCCTACTCCTCCTCCTCCTCCTCCTCCTCCTCCTCAGCCTCCTCCTCCTCCATCCCTTGTCAAAAAAAGAAACACAACAAAAACTCCTGCATGCCGCGCCCCCAGACATGTTGTCAGGGCGGGCCCAGCATTTCGCCTTAGACTTCCTCACCATTTATGACCCTGAAGCTTGACATGTGCAACAGTTTCACAGATAACGCTCTCTGCTCTCGATTTGGCGCCGCGCACATTCGTCTGAAAGACTTCAAGAACTTCAAAACGAAAGGGGGGGGTCGTTCTCAAAACATGGATCTCGCCTCAGCGCCGCGCACACTCGTTCGCAGAATTTGATACGGTTTCACGGATGGATGGCAGCTCTTTTTCAAACTGTGGCTCTAGCCTCAATGCCGCGCGCCTTCGTCTTAAGAGTCGACAGCGCCCACGGACTAAAGAGGGTCGCTTTCAACATGTGTCTCTCGCAAGAGCGCCGCGTGCATCCGTCTCGAATCTGCAACAGTTTCAACCATGGAAGGGGGGGGGGTTCGAGGGCGCGCCGCTGGTCATCCCAGAGGGGGGGGGTCCAGGACCACCCCCATCCCCCCTTTCCCCGGTACGTCGTCCCGGTGCCCCCCCCCCTCCCCCCTTGTCCAGAGATGCGCCGTCCCAGACGCCCCTCCTCCCCCCCTTTCAAAAAGGGGGGCCGGTGTTCTCCTCCTCCTCCTCCTCCTCCTGACCACCCTCCTCCTCCTCCTCCTCCTCCTCCGCCTCCTCCTCCTCCTCCTCCTCCCCGCCCTCGGACTCGCAAATCGGGCCCACCCACCCCCTGCTCGCCACGCCGCGGCCCTGGCTTCGGGACCCTGACTACCTGACCCTAACACCTTAATCCTAGGGCTAGCACCCTGTCCCCAATTCCTCGACCCGAACACCCTACCCCTCCCACCAGAACCCAAACCCTAATCTTACAACCCTAACCCTAACCAGAATGCACTATCCCTAACCCGCACCTAACCCTAATCTTACAACACCCTAACCCTAACAACCTAACCTTGCACTCTAACATAACATAGCAAAAACCCAAACCCTAACGCCCTAACACTGATTTCCTAACCCTAACACCCTATCCCTTACACCAACCGCCCTCACCCCAACCCTAACACCCTAACCCAGGCCAACCCTAACACCCCAACACTAACATCATAACCCGAGTCCTAACACCCTAACCCAAACCCCATACCCGCAAAACACCGTAATCCTAACACTGTAAGCTTACACCCTAATCCCAAAACGCCCGAACCCTATCACGCTAACCCAATCACCCTAGCCCGAACACCATACCCGTAATCCCACCGGCCTAACCGTAACCCTACCATACTTAGCGTAACACCCTAACACCCTGACACCAACATCCGAAAGCCTAACACCCGAACCCCAACACCCTACGTCTGACACCCTAACACTAAGCCCTAACCCCAAAACACCATAGAGAAAACACCCTACCCTGAACATACCGCTCTAACCCGAACCCTACCACCCTAAGCGCAAAACCCTAACCCGAGCAAACGTATCCTATCACCGTAAGCCTAAGGCCCTAACCTTACACCCTAACCAAAAACACCCTAAACCTAACACCCTGACCCGAATCCTACCACCCTAACCCGCATCCTACCACCGCAAGCGTAACACCCTAAGCCTAACACCCGTACCCTAACACCCTGAACCTGACACCCTAACCCGAACTCTCTGACCCTAATACACTTACCCTGACATCCTAACCCTGACTCCCTAACCCTAACACTCTAACCCTAACATTCTAACACCCTCACACCCGAGTATTAAACCCTAGCCACAAAACACCGAAACCTAACCCTAGCCCTGCCACCCTAACCCTACCCCTAACGCCTCAAACCTAACACTCGAAACCTACCAATCGAACCCAAACACCCTAACCCCCAGACCATAACCCTAATATCGTCGTCCGATTCCTACGGTCCTAACCCTAACCCTAACACCCTAAGCGTAAAACTCTGACCCTAACAACCGCACCCTTACACCCTAAGCCGAACCCTACCGCCCTAACCCCTAACATCCTAACCCTAACACACTAAACCGCGCAAAAGAAATAGGAGCGCGGGGAATCCCCCCACCACCCGAACCCTCTCTGGCGCAGAGGGGGGAAGAGGGAGGGGAACCGCAATTATCCACCCCCTCTCCAGCGCAGAGGGGGAGAGGGGGGCAGTCAGAAATTCCCACCCTGGCGGGGTGTCCGAAAACTCTCCCCCCCCCCTTTGGGACAGGGGTGGGGTTGTGACAGCACACACCACTTTTCAACTGGAGGGAGATCCACTGGCGCTCCTGTATGAGTTTAAAAACTGTGGTCTCGCCTTAGCGCCGCGCGCATTCGTAAGAAAAGATGCAGCAGTTCCACCAGAGGAGGGGGGATCATAATAGTACTCTAGCTTCAGCACCGAGCACAGGCGTTTTAAGAGTCCGCTCTAACTTCACGGCAGTATCTTTTTCAAAGTGAGACTCTCGCCTTAGCGCCGCAAACATTCGTGCCCAACCCTACAAAACAGCTTCAGAGATTGAGCACTACTTGTTCTCACAGTGGGGGTATCGCCTTAGCGCCGCGCGCATTCGCGATTCCATACAAAGCTTTGCAGGATGGAGGATTACTCTGTTTCATAATTGAGCTCTCGCCTGAAAGTTCGCTTAATTGACAGACCAAAAAATTCAACCCGCGTAGCGGATTCGTGCCGGCTCTTTTTCAAACTCAAGCTGTCGCTTGAGATGTCCTCGAAGTTCATGGCCACAAATGCAAACCTGCGCAGGAGTTGCACGGATGGGGGGGTCCGTATTCGAAACGGGGATGTCGCTGGACACATCTTTGTATGATCATTGTCTCTTGCGTTCCTTACTACGCGCAGCTAGGATGCAAACATTCTTTTCCCAAGCAGGGCCCTCGCCAAAATTGCAGGCCCAATTGTGCTGGTCTTCCAGGCGGGGGCGCTGCGCACCTTGCAGTGATAAAGAAGACTTGCAGGGGCTCATGAGGAGCGTGTTCGGACGGGAGGGTGAGTTGAAACATCGTCTACGCACCGTTGGTCTAAGCTGGTCCTCATCCTCCTTCTCCTCCTCCTCTTCCTCCTCCTCCCCTTCCTGCCTTCCGCCCTCCCTCCCTCCCTCCCTTCCTCCTTCCTCCTTCCTTCCCTCCCTCCCTCCGGCTGCCCCCTCCCCTGAGGGGAATGATGGGGGGGGGCAGCTCAAGTTGCGGGGGCATCGAGCTTAAACCGGCTGGTGGTATGGGGGAGTGGCCTACATGGGGAGGTGAAGACGCGGGCGCCTTTTTCCTCACCCGCCGTTCCCAGACCCCCGACGTCGAGTTGTTTTTCGTGGCGTGACCCTCAGAAGTCTGGACCCCTCCCCAGGACCAGTTTTTCGTCCCGAATCGTTTTTCGACTGACCCGAGGCCCGTGAATGGCCCCAGGAGCCCGAAGATAACGAAAAACATCCCGTCGTGATTTTTGTCACAGCGCGAGGGGGTCTGGGAGAAGGGCCCCTTCTTTTCCTCACCCCCGTCTAGGTCCACCACCCGCCCTGAGCCTGCATTTCCCCCCCGCGACACCCCGGCATCCTTCAGCACGGGCTGCAGCCCCCCCGTCGCCCACATGGCGAGCAGCCCTGCGCCTGCGCGGGGGGGCCGCCGGACTCACCCCGAAGCCCATGCATAGAAGAGGAAGAAACGCCATAAACATAAACGTTTGGCGCCCCGCGCAGATTTCTGGGATCCGCGCTGGGCCCCCCCGGCGGCGCCTCTGGCGCCGCCCCTGGCGCGTTCTGCGCCCCAGGGAGGGGGGCCCCTCGCGGCCTACACGAAACCAACAAGTACGCCCAGAAACAACGTCTGATCAGACGGGTTGAGGAAGCCTGTCTTCCAAACCCCTCTGCCCCTTTGGAAAACATATACCCCTGTTGCGCATCAATAGACACGCGCCCACTCGACCGACGGCCGACCCGAGTCAAAAACAACCCCCCAAACCATCCCGGCCATCACAAGAATTGCAAGACAAAATGAATTTTGCGACATGACCTGGCTCGTCTTCGGGCGTCCTACCCTCACTGAATACTAGTCTGCTACATGACGGCAGGGGGCATCATCAGAGTGAGGGGGCCGAACGGTCGTTCAGTCCCTGGGCGCGTGGCTGAAAAGAGGTTATGGGGTGCGGATTGTTGGTGTTGTTGCTGTTGTTGCTGTTGTTGCTGGTGTTGTTGTTGGTGTTGTTGCTGTTGTTGATGATGTTGTTGCTGTTGTTGTTGCTGCTCTTGTTGTTGAATGTTGTTGTTGGTGTTGGTGTTGTTGTTGTTGTTGTTGGTGTTGGTGTTGTTGGTGGTGGTGGTGTTGGTGTTGTTGTTGGTGATGTTGGTGTTGCTGTTGTTGTTGTTGTTGCTAGTGTTGTTGTGTTTGTTGCTGCTGTTGCTGTTGCTGTTGGTGTTGTGTTTGTTGTTGCGATCGTTGCTGTTGGTGTTGTAATTGGTGTTGTTGTTATTGGTGTCGTTGTTGTTGTTGCTGCTGCTGTTGTTGTTGCTGGTGTTGTTGTTGGTGTTGTTGGTGTTGGTGTTGCTGTTGTCGTTATTGTTGTTGTTGCTGTTGTTGTTATTGTTGGTGTTGTTGTTGTGATTGTTGGTGGTGGTGTTGTTGCTGTTGTTGTTGTTGGTGTTGTTGTTGGTGTTGTTGTTGTTTGTCGTCGTCGTCCCCCCCGCGACCCAGCCCGCGACCCACCCGCGACCCATCCGCGACCCACCCCGCGACACACCCCGCGACACACCCGCGACCCGCCCGCGACCCACCCCGCGACCCGCCCGCGACCCACCCGCGACCCACCCGCGACCCACCCGCGACCCACCCGCGACCCACCCCGCGCGACCACCCCGCGACAACACCGGCGACCCAACCCGCGACCCACCCGCGAACCAACGGCCCCCAAACAGCGACCCCCACCCGCGACCCACCTGCGACACACCCGCGACCCAGCCAGCGACCCACTCGCGACCCACCCACGACCCACCCGCGACACACCCGCGATCCAACCCGCGACCCAACCACATCACTTGAACAAAAAAATCGGCCCCTGCGGCGAGCTCGGTATCATTTCTACAAAGCGCCTGCGGCAGGGTTCTTCAGAGCCTCGCAGACTGCCGACGTCCTCGCCGCCCTCTCACCCTTATCCGCAACTGCGGGGTGCTACGTAGTACCCCCCGTGTGCAGGCCCACGATCCCTCTCAGGAGAAAACACTGCAATGCGAACGTGGCGGCAAAGCGCCCCGACCCATTGGAGTACCCTCAGCGTGTGAGATGCTTACCATTCCCCTGACCCCTCCCCCCATGCCCTGGTCCGGTCGATTCAGAGGGAGGGGGCTCCGTCCGTCCTGATCCCGCGGGCCCCGCCCCAACGCACCGTTGGGAGGACAGAGGCCCCCACAACGAGCCCAGAGGGCCCAAAGAGGCCCCCAAGACAGTCCAAGAGGGCCCCCAGTCGCCGAAAGCTCCCCCAGGACGGCCAAGCAGCCTCCTGACGGCCCAAAACGCCCCCAAAACGCCCACAGAGTCCTCCAAGAGCCCACCCAAGAGGGCCCCACAGGGCAACATTCATTGTTTCTTCAATCCGCTTTTGAAAAAAAATAGCGTTCTCGCCTTTTCGGCGTCCCGACGCTCCACGACGGCCCGAGCGGCTCCCAACATCCCCCCAGGCGGCCCAGAGGCTTCCAAGAAGACCCCTTAACGAACAAGGAGGGCCCCCCCGAACAGCCCCGCGGACGGCCTCCATAGGCCCCCGTGCAGCGCCCAAAAGGGCACCAAGAAGCCTCCGAAAGGTGCCCAAGAGGCCCTCAGAAACAACACGCCACGAGCGCCGTTTCCCCAAGGGGTCGGCGGCGTGCGTAAGCCCAAGAACCGGCGATACATCGCCGACCGATGGGCGATAGGCCCCCGATGGTGAATCCGCGCGTTCCTGGGCAGGTTGGGGCTACAGTCAAAGCCTATCATGAAGACGGGCGGTAAGGACGCGAGACCCTTGGAGGCCGAAATTGCGATATGTTGGGCAGCGGGTGACCAAAACCCCTGGGACGCAAGGGTACCCTCACTCGCCAGCCCCCGTCATTGCCGACTTGGTGCCAGGGCCCACGGCAAAAACAACGGGAGGACGCAAGGGCACCCTCAAAATCCGACGGGTGAGGACGAGGGCGACACGCCGAAGAACGGCCAAGGGTACCCTTGTGGCCCGCGCCCTTAGAGCTGCCCCCCAGAGGAGCGCCCCGCCGCGCAGCCGAGGGACGGGGCCTGCCCCAAGGGTACCCTGAAAGGCTGGCCAGTGAAAATGGCTAAGGACGGGCCGCAGAGGCAAACCAAGGGTACCCGAGGAACGAGAGAGCGCGTTTCACGGGCGCTTGCCTTGGGAACGTTCGGCGGCGCGTCTCGAACCAGGGGGTGGCCCCCCCACACAATCGGCGCCCTCGATCAGAACCAGGGGGGGCTCCCCTCCCTCCAACCCTCCCCCCCTTCCCGACCCCCCCTGGCCCCCCGGCGCCGGCGCCGGCGTCGGCGCTGGCGGCGGCCAGCAGTGCCGACGGCGGAACGCAGCAACGATGACCAGAGAGGGCTCGGGGAGGAGAGGGGGGGAGGGGTCCCAACACCCCCCCCCCAGCGGCGGCGCCAGCGCCGGCGCTGGCGGCGGCCGGCGGCCAGCAGCGCCGACGGCTGTGGCGAGAAGATCCGAAGGCCACAGCACCACCACCACCACCACCACCACAAACCACCACACCACCACCACAACCACCACCACCACAACCACCACAACCCACCACCACCACAACCACCACCATAAACGCAAACAACCACACCACCACCAACATCAAAAACGCCACCACCACCACAAACCACCACAACCCACCACAAGCACCACCACAACCCCACCACAAACCACCACACCACCACCACCATCACCACCACCGCCACCACACCACCACCACCAAAATCCACCACCACACCACCGCCGCCACAAACCATCACACCACCACACCCACAACCACCACCACCACCACCACAACCACCAACACCACCACCCACCACCACCACCCACCACCACCACCAGCACCACCACCAGCACCACCACCACCACCACCACCAACACCACAGCCCACCACCACCACCACCACCACCACGACAAACCACCACACCACCACCACAACCACCACCACCACCACTGCTGCCACCACTACCACCACCACCACCACCACCACCATCACCTCAGCCCAAAACCACTACAAACCACCACACAACCACCACCACCACAGCCACCACCACAACCACCACAAGCACAACAACCCACCACCACCACAACAACGACCACCACTACTCCACCACCACCATCTACCACACCAACACCACCACCACCATGACCGCCACGACCACCGCTACCACCACCACCACGACCGCCACGACCACCGCCACCACCACCACCAGCACAATTCACCACCACCATCACTAACCACCACACCACAACCACAAACCACCACACAACCACCAACACCACAGCCCACCACTACCACAACCACCACCAACACCAACGCCACAACCACCACCTCACCACCAGAACAACATACCACCGCCAATCCACCACCACAATCCACCACGCCACCACCACCACCGCCACCACAAGCACCAGCACCACCTCCACAACCCACCACCACCACGGCCACCACCACAACGACCACAAACCACCACACCACAGCCAGCACCATCACCGCAACCATACCCACCACCACAACCCACCACCACCACCACAACCACCCACCACCACAACCACCACCGCCACCACCTCAAACCACCAAACCACCACCACCACAGTGACAAGTACCACACCACAACCAACACCACAACCCACCACCACCACAACCACTACCACACAACCACCACGATAAACCACCACACCACCACCGCCACCACCACAATCCACCACAATCCACCACCACAACTACCACCACCAGCACCACCAGAACCACCACACCACCACCACAACCCACCACGACCGCCACAACCACAACCACCACAGCCTGCCACCACAACCACCACAATAACCACCACCAACACCACAACCACAACCAACCACAACACCACCACCACCACCACCACCTCCACCACCATTACAACCACCACCACCACCACCACAGCCTACCATCACCACCACCACCACCTCAGAGAGGCACCAATAAACGCCTAAGAGGCTTCACAAATGCCCTTCAGAGGCCCCCGAGAACCCTCCGACGAGAACCCAGGAGGCATCCATCAGGACTCTGACCCAAAACCAAGGCACAATGGTGGAGCGTCGTCCTCGTCGTCGTCATCGTCGTCGCCATCGTCTTCGTCGACTCTCCCCGCCGCCGCCGCCAGCCGCCGCAGGCGCCGGCGCCGGCGCCGGCCCAGGAAACGAAAAAGTCGTCTTCATTGACGCTCCCCGCCGCCGCCAGCCGCCGCCGACGCCGGCGCCGGCCCGAGGAGAAGGAAAGACGGGGGGGGGTGGGAGTCCAGTTCCAAACCCCCCCCCTCCAAGCGACCACAGAACGCGCTCTTTCCTGGAAAGGTGCGTGTCCTTATCATGCGTAATGACTGCATCGGGCCCCTATCGGCGATCACTGAGCGATTGGGGGTCGATGCATCCCCCACTATGCCTGTCCTGATTGCTGCAGGACGAGACCAAAACGAAAAAGAGCCCCCGAAATCGCCAGAACACCGCGCAGCTCGCGCCCTGGCGGTCAGGCTCGGGCGCGCAGGGCCTCTGGTGGTGTGGCGGGTTCCTCCCGCCGGCCTTCACACCTCTCGGGGGTCCACCACAAAGCGGCCTGGAGAGCACGCGGCCGGGTTGGCAGGCCGTGATCCTGCGACGAACGAACAACACACGCACCTATACCCATAGGGGGGACGGAGGGGGCTACGGGTGCGTCTTGTCGGATGGGGGCCCCCGCTCGAACGGGAGATACCCCCACGGTCCGACAGCTCGCACCCAAACCCGTAGCCAGTCCTCCTCCTTCCGACCCCTCTGTGGGTACGGGTGTGTGCTGTTCGTTCGTCGATCCTGGGAGGGGGGATGGTTTGCTGGCACATCCTGAGACGATGCCAAAACAAGGCAAAATCGGGTGAGGACAAGTCGAGAATCTCTGAGATCTTGCAGCCTTGGAAGATGCCTCGGGCGCCGCGGCCCCCTCAGAGCGTTCCAGAGCGCTCTGAGAGCGTTCCGGAACGCTCTGGAACAGAGTCTGGCGACAGACGATCTGATGAGGCGTCCAGCTCCTGCACGCCACCTTGCACCCTTCAGTCACTAACGAATGGGGGTCCGATATCTAGGGGTCAGAGTCGGCGAAGGGCAAACTAAGGAAAAAACAGATTCAGAAAAAGTCCGCCGACCCTGTCGGCGTGTGGGATGGGTTGTTCGTCGTGGTTGTTGTCCTCGTACATACTCGTCTTCTTTTCTGGGTCCGTCGCCGCTCCCCCCCTCTTTCCCTGGGCCCTCGTCCTCAAGCGCGCCAGCCAAAGCGAAATGAAGCAGTCCACCCAAAGCGAAATTAACAACGTTGTCATTGAATCGAGGGACCGTTGATCCCTTCCCGCGGGGGGGGGGAAGGATCCCTGAGGGGGTCCCGGGGCGCGGTCAGAATACCATCCCCCGTTTGCGGTTTTTACAGAGGGGCCCTCTGCAAATGCGCTGGAGGGGGGGTCGCCACGACGGATCCGCCAGAGCGCCCCTAGACGGCGCAATCCCTCCCCCACGGGGAGGATATCCCAGCGGAGACGCCGCCCAGATACGTTTCCCCCTCGAGCGCCCCCGAAACCATGAAAAGCTGTTTCCAAAAGACCCCAGAATGCCACAACGCTTCCTCCTCCTCCTCCTCCTCCTCCTCCTCCTCCTCCTCCTCCTCCTCCTCCTCCTCCTGCTCCTCCTCCTCCTCCTCCTCCTCCTCCTCTCCTCCTCCTCCTCCTCCTCCTCCTCCTCCTCCTCCCCTCCCCCCCCCACTCCCCCCCCACTGCTCCCCATCCTCGTGCTCCTCATCTGCCTCCTCCTCCTCCTCCTCCTGCTCCTCCTCCTCCTCTTCCTCCTCCTCCTCCTCCTCCTCCTCCTCCTCCTGCTCCTCCTCCTCCTCCTCATCCTTCCCCCCCTCCTCCTCCCTCATCCGCCTCCTCCACCCTTCCTCTTCCCCCCCCTCCGCCTCTACCCCCCCTGCCCGGTTTCATGGTCGGCGGCACTGGCCGTAAGGCCTTCACAGTATCGACCTGGGCCAAAAAAATCGAAAATTGCTTCAAAAGAACAAGCAAGGTGCTCATATGTGTATATATATATGTTGTGAATAAAGGACCCCCCAAAAAAAAACACGGCCCCGAGCAGGGAAATCCTGGGAATTGAACCTACCTTCTCCTGACCCCCAAAAGACTGACCCCCACTGACAGGCGAAGGAACCCCGCACCCAGGACGACTCTGTGGAGGGATTCCCAGTCCCTGACGGCCCACCTCAGAAAAGCCTCCCAACTCAGGCTCGGGCAGGTACGGTCGGGGCATCGCACCGCATGGCCGATGTCACCGGCGATGCCTCGGCCATTCATCGGCAGCGACGGGGCAGGTGAAAATCGGACCCCGGACCGCATCGACGAAGCATCGGCGATGCGGCGTCATCCTCCGACACCCTCTGCCCCCGCCCGATTGAGGAGGCTGGGGGGGGACGCCGACCGTACGCCAACACGACTGGCCAGGCCCATCCTGCGCTCAGGATCGGTGCACAAGCCCGTCTTGCTGAGCCAGGCGGGCGCATGCACGGGTCCCAGACCCAGGGTTGGCCAGCCAGGCAGGATCGGCCACGGTGTTCAGCCGGCGTCCTCCAGTGGACGACCTGGATCCCAGGAGTCGGCCCTCAAGAGCCGATTTGCCCCTGGTGCTGCTCCCCGTCCTCTTCCTCGTCCTCCTCCTCCTCCGCCTCCTCCTCCCTTTCTTCCTCCTCCTTCTCCTCCTCCTTCTCCTCCTCCTCCTCCTCCGCCTGCTCCTTCTTCCTCCTCCTCCGCCTCCTCCTCTTCCTCCTCCTCCTCCTCTGCCTCTTCTTCTTCTTCCTCCTCCTCCGCCTCCTCATCATCCTCCTCCTCCGTCTCCTCTCATCTCTCCTCCTCATCCATCATCCACCTCCGCCTCCTCCTCCGCCTCCTTCTTCTCCTCCTTCTCGTCGTCTGGCCCCATCTGCAGCCCGCCCACCCCCCGATGAGTGCCCCAAAGGACGCCGATGAAGCTGGCCATGACGCACACGCGGACGCTGCAGACTACCCCGCAGCAGGCGGAGCACTCCGCGTAGCCGGTGTCCACCGCCTCAGGGCGGACGACGACGACGACGACGACGACGACGACGACGACGACGACGACGACGACGACGACGCAGGCGGCCTCGGGAATCCTCGGGAGGCCTCCAGAGCTTCCGGAGGAGGCAATAACGTGACGCCGTCTGGGGAAGGTGGGCGAGGGCGCCGATCACGGGCGGTATCGCCCCGCCGAGGAGAAGACGAGAGATGAGCAGGACGAAGAGCAGGCAGAGGAGGAAGCGGCACGGCCTCTATCACGACGACCATGACCACCACCACCACCACCACCACCACTGCAGCCGCCACGGTGACGCGACGACCGCCCCACGCCGCCCCCTGCATCCCTCCCCCCCCTTCCCTCCTGCCTGGCCGCCCCTGCCTGCAGCTTTCGCCGACTCGCCTCTTCAATTGCTAACAAGGCTCGGCCAGGCCAGGGAGTTTCACACGCTCCCAGAGAAGTATGGCCAGGGATGCGCAACAGGCCAATGCCTCAGGAAAGCTTGGCCCTGAAGGTGCAGGAGGAGGAGTTCGAGGAGGAGGTGGAGAAGGCGAAGGAGGACGAGGAGGCGGAGGAGGACAGAGGACAAGACGGAGGAAGAGGAGGAGGCGGAGGGGGAGGCGGAGGTGAAGGAGGAGGTGGAGGAGGAAAAGGAGGAGGAGGAGGAGGACGAAAACGACGACGACGAGGATGAGGACGAGGACGAGGAGCAGGAAGAGGAGGGCGAGGAGAAAGAAGAGGAGGAGGAGGAGGAGGAGGAGGAGAATATGCCAGGGGATGTGCGCCAGGAGCGCCACAGGGCCAGGCCTCAGAGGAAAGCCTGGCCCAGGCGGTGGCCAGCGCGGGGCCCAGGACCAAACACGCCGATGCCCAGAGGGGCCCCCCTGTGTGGGGGGGGGCGGGGACCCCCACTCGGGTGCCCCCTGGCCGGGAGGGGAGGGAGCAGGGGGAGGAGGAAAAGGACGGCAAGAAGGAAGAAGAGTAGGAGAAGGAGGAGGAGGAGGAGGAGGAGGAAGAGGGCGGCAGGGAGGGCGAGGAGAGGGAGCTGAGCGGGAGGAGGAGGGGTAGGAGGAAGAGGAGGGCGAGAAGAACGAGGACCCTGACGAAAAGGACGAGTTGGTGGGGAAGGAGGAGGGGGAGGAGGGGGAGGCGGACGAAGGAGGACGGTCTCCGACCCCATGAGAGACCCACGGCCCGGGCTCCCGATCCTGCTGTTCAAATGAAGGCTTCAAAACCAGAATGGAGCCGCGATGGCCCTGGCGCCCAGTGGAGCACGCCCAGATGTGGCATGATGATGATGATGGTGATGGTGATGGTGATGGTGATGGTGATGGTGATGGTGATGGTGATGATGATGATGATGATGATGCTGATGCTGATGCTGATGCTGATGCTGATGATGATGATGATGATGATGATGATGATGACGATGATGATGATGATGATGATTATGATGATGATCAGGATGAGGATGATGATGATGATGATGATGATGATGGTGGTGATGGTGATGACGATGACGATGACGATGACGATGACGATGACGATGACGATGACGATGACGATGATGATGCTGCTGCTGCTGATGATGATGATGATAATGAAGAGGCGGGGGAAGAGCGACAACGGAACGAGGTCTTCGGAGCTTCCCAAAACGGTAAAGAACCACCCAAACCCCCTAGAAGCAGTGCCCTCCTCCTCCTCGACCTCCTTACCCTCCTCGTCCTCCTCACCACCACTACCACCACCACCATCACCATCACAACCACCACCACCATCACCATCACCACCATAACCATAACCATCACCCTTCACCACCATGACCATGATCATGACCAACACCATCATCATCATCATCATCAGCATCCCCACCATCATCATCGCCATCATCATCATCACCATCATCATCATCAGCAGCAGCATCATCAGCAGCATCATCAGCATCAGCATCATCATCAATCTTATCATCATTAGCAGCAGCATCATCACCACCATCAGCAGCCGCAGCAACTGTAACATCACCGCTTACATCGTAATAGTCATCATGCTCGTCGGCATGATCCTCGTCATAGGTATCATCAGCATCGCCGCCATCGACGTCTCATCATAATCACCATAAGTCAGCAGCACCCTGAGCCGCATCAGTATCATCAGCATGATCATCATCATCATCATCATCAGCAGCAGCATCATCAGCAGCATCATCAGCATCAGCATCATGACCGCCATGATCATCGGCATAACTATCACAACCACCATCACTATCACCATCACCATCACCATCACCGTCTTCATCCTCATCCCCACAACCACAATCATCATCATCATCAGCATCATCATCATCATCATCATCAGCATCATCATCATCAGCATCATCATCATCGTCATCATCATCATCATCATCATCATCATCATCATCATCATCGTCATCCTCATCATCATCATAATAATCATCATCATCATCATCATCGTCGTCGTCGTCGACGTCGTCGTCGTCATGCCTACGGTCCTCCTCCTCCTCCTCCTCCTGCACCTTCTCCTACTCATTCTCCTCCTCCTCCTCATCCTCCTTCTCCTCCTCCTCCTCCTCCTTCTCCATTCCGTTCCCTGATGAATAACTACTCCCTCTCGCGCCCCGAGGCCCGTCGAAAGGGCGAGCCGGGCGGTCCGCCTGAATCTTCATCACCACTTACGACCCTGACACTTCAAAATCGGCAACCATTTCACCAATGGGGGGCGGGCGGCTTCCAAAACGTGGCTCTCGCACCAGTGCTGCGCACACTCGTTCTGGCAGTCGCAAACGCTTCACGGATTGAGGGCAGGCAGCTTCCGAAATGTGATTCTCGCCTTAGCGCCGCGCACACTCGTTCTCTTTCACGAAAACGCAAGAGCTTCACGGATTCAGGGCGGCTCCTTTTCAAAGAGTTGCTCTCGCCTTGGCGACGCGCACGCTCGTCTTAAAAATTTGCAACAGCTTCACCGATTGAGGGTGGGCCGTTTTCAAAACTCTCACCATAGCGCCGCGCTCGCTCGTATTAGAAAGTTGCAGGAGTCTCACGAACGGTGAGCGGCTCACTTTCAAATGTGGCCCTCGCCTTGTTGCCGCGCACACTCGTCTTGAAAAAATGCAAGAGCTTCACGGATTGAAAACTGCTGTTTTCAACATGTGGCTCTCGCCATAGCGCCAGGAACCGTCGTGCCAAAACATGAGATACTGGAGGAACAGCCCAATCATAATATGTGTCCCCACCCTCCTTGGTTGGGCATTCGTTTTGAATAGAGTACTGGGGTCGCGTCCTTCTCCTCCCGCCTCCCACCTATCAGTTTGATCTTGCCTCCTCTTGTCTTGTGCGTACCTCGTGCGTGTGTGTGTGTGTGGTGTGTGCATCCTGGCTGCGGTACCTCTTGTGTGTGCATCTTGCCAAGGGGCTGCGATCTGTGACACTGTCGCCACTTTCGAGGGTTGCTGGTGGGCCCTGCGAAGTGAGGCACCGCTGGGATCTGAGCGAGACCTCTCCATCCCTGGGGGGCTGCGATCTGCGACACTGTCGCCACTTTCGAGGGCTGCTGGTGGGTCCAGCGGGGTGAGGCACCGCGGGGATCTGAGCGAGGCCTCGCCGTCCCTGGGGGGTTGCGATCTGCGACACCGTCGCCACTTTCGAGGGCTGCTGGTGGGTCCTGCGGAGTGAGGCACCGCGGTGATCTAAGCGAGACCTCGCCGTCCCTGGGGGGGCTGCGATCTGCGACATTGTCGCCACTTTCGAGGGCTGCTGGTGGGTCCTGCGGGGTGAGGCACCGCGGAGTTCCGAGTGAGACCTCGCCGTCCCTGGGGGGCTGCGATCTGCGACACTATCGCCACTTTCGATGGCTGCTGGTGGGTCCTGCGGGGTGAGGCACCGCGGGGATCTGGGCGAGACCCCGCCGTCCCTGAAGGGGCTGCGATCTGCGACACTGTCGCCACTTTCGAGGGCTGCTGGTGGATCCTGCGGAGTGAGGCACCGCGGGGATCTGAGCGAGACCTCGCCGTCTCTGGAGGGGGGGGGCTGCGATCTGCGACGCTGTCGCCACTTTCGAGGGCTGCTGCTGGGTCCTGCGGAGTGAGGCACCGCGGGGATCTGAGCGAGACCTCGCCGTCCCTAAGGGGGGCTGCATCTGCGGCACTGTCGCCACTTTCGAGGGCTGCTGGTGGGTCCTGCGGGGTGAGGTACCGCGGGGATCTGAGCGAGACCTCGCCGTCCCTGGGGGGCTGCGATTTGCGACACTGTCGCCACGTTCGAGGGCTGCTGGTGGGTCCTGCGGAGTGAGGCACCGCGGGGATCTGAGCGAGACCTCGTCGTCCCTGGGGGGCTGCGATCTGAGACACTGTCGCCACTTTCGAGGGTTGCTGGTGGGCCCTGCGGA